GGTGAATTGGAACTTACCAGCAAAACACTCTTTTCTCACCACCTGTTAACAAGTTAACACTTTAACTCCTCTGTGCTAGCTGCATCTCCTCTGGGACGATTACCCCTCTCACATCTGCTCCCACCCCAGCTACTAACCCAGTTTCTTTCCAGGAAATACCACCTCAGTACTGTGGATTTTGACTCCTAGAGGAATTGGGCTTGGGAAGTTAGGTAATTTGCCCTAGGTTACATAGTTAACAAGCACTTGACCCACTTCTCTAACTCCCTGCCTTATTTCTAGTGTGGATCAGACCTGGGGAAGGAGAGGAGAAGATCTTTAGAGCAGCTCTGGGAATTGGGTGCAAACAAAAATGGGAAGAAAAGTTCCAGATGCATGGAGGATTGATGTGTGGTACAGAGTTGGTAGAGCCCACCCGGGCCATCCTGAACTAAATCAAAATGTCTTGGAGGACACTGACAGGCTTAGCTGATTTGAAGAAAGGAATAGAAACATCCAGTATTTTATTTATCAAGTGAAATTTGCATGAGAAAATTAAATACTTTTAAAAGGTAGAGTTATAGGAGAAAGAGGAGGCAAGAAAGTAAAAGAAATCTTCTATCTGCTGATTTGTTCCCCAAATGGTTACAGTGAGCTCAGGCTCAGCCAGGCTGAAATCAGGATCCTGGAGCTTGATCAAGGTCTCTCATGAAAGTGGCAGGGACCGGGCCCAGCGTGATAGCATAATGGCTAAAGTCCTCACCTTGCATGTGCCGTGATCCCATTTGGGCATTGCTTCTAATCCCAGCAGCTCCACTTCCCATCCAGCTCCCTGCTTGTGACCTGGGAAAGCAGTGGAGGACTACTCAAAGCCTTGGGACCCTGCACCCACATCAGAGACATGGAGGAGGTTCTTGGCTCCTGGCTTCGCATCAGCCATTGCGGTCACCTGGGGAGTTAATCATTGGATAAAAGATCTTCCTCTCTTTTTTTCCTCCTCTCTGTATATCTGACTTTCCAATAAAAATAAATCTCTAAAAAGTAAATCAATCTTAAAAAAAAAAAAAAAAAAAAGAAAGTAAGTGGCAGAGACCAAGAACTTGAGCCATCTTCCTCTGCTTTCCCAGGTGCATTAGAGATGCTGGTGTGGGGTAGCAGCTCAACCCAGTGTACCACAGTGCAGACCCTGAAAATTAAACATTTCAAAGTGATTAATGCAGGGGAGGATACAGTGGCTCAGCAGGCTATTCTAACGTGTGGCACTGGCATCCACAATGGCACCAGTTTATATCCCAGCTGTTCCATTTCCCATCCAGCTACATGATTATGGCCTGGGAAATCAGCAAAGGATGGCCAAGGCCTTGGGACCTGCATCTCTGTGGGAGACAAAAGGCGGTTCCTGGACTTGGATCATTTCAGCGCCAGCTGTAGTGGCCATTTAGGGAATGAATTAGCAGATGGAAGATCTTTCTGTTTGTCTCTTTTCTGTAAATCTGCTTTTTGGGTCTGGTGTGATGGCTCAGTGGCTCAAATTTCACCTTGTAAGCTCTGGGATCCTATATGATTGCCGATTGGTGTCCTAGATGCTTCACTTCCCATCCAGCTTCCTGCTTGTGGCCTGGGAAAGCAGTCGAGGACTGCCCAAAGCCTTGGAACACTACACCAGCATGGGAGACCCAAAAGAAGCTCCTGGCTCCTGGCTTTGGATAGGCTCAGCTCCAGCCGTTGCACGCACTTGGGGAGTGAACCATTGGACAGAAGATCTTCCTCTCTGTCTCTCCTCCTTTCTGTATATCTGCCTTTCCAATAAAAAATAAATAAATCTTAAAAAGAAAAAAAAAAAAAGATGATCTTGGCTTCTAATTGGCTCAGCTCCAGCTGTTACAATCACTTGGGGAGTGAACCAATTGACTGAAGATCTTTCTCCGTCTCTCCTTCAGTCTGTAAATCTGCCTAATTTACAATAAAAATAAATCTCTTTTTTTAAAGATTTATTTATTTTTATTACACTCTGGCGTGTTCAAGGCAAGGACTTTAGCTGTTAGGCCACGGCGCCGGGCCCTAAAAATAAATCTTAAACAAACAAACAAACGAAACAAAGATCTTCTGTCTTCTGGTTCACTCTCCAAATGGCCACAATGGACAGAACTGAGCCAATCTGAATTCAGGAGCCAAGAGCTTCTTCCAGGTCTCCCAAGTGGCCATCCTTGACTGGTTTCCCTGGCTATACGCAGGGAGCTAGATGGGAAGTGGAGCAGCTGGGACATGAACCAGCACACATGGGGGATCCTGGAATGTACAAGGTGAGGATTTAGTTACTGAGCCAAAAATAAATAAATCTTTCTAATTTTCTGTCTCTCCTCTCTGTAAATCTCTTTCCAATAAAGATAAATAAATCTTTTTTAAAAATTATGTATTTTGGGCCCAGCGCTATGGCCTGGCAGTTAAGGGCCTCACCTTGAACGCGCCACAATCAAATATGGGTACCAGTTCTAATTCCGGCAGCTCCACTTCCCATCCAGCTCAATGCTTGTGGTCTGGAAAAGCAGTGGAGTATGGCCCAAAGCTTTGGGACCCTGCACCCGCATGGGAGACCCAGAAGAGGCTCCTGGCTTCGGATCGGCATAGTATCAGCCCGTTGCGCTCACTTGGGGAGTGAATCATTGGACAGAAGATCTTCCTCTCTGTCTCTCCTCTCTGTATATCCGCCTTCCCAATAAAAAAATAATAAAAATAAATTTAAAAAAATTATTTATTTTTATTGTAAAGGTAGATTTACAGAGAGGAGAAATAAAATGTTCCTTCTTCTGGTCTCCAAGTAGCTGCGACAGCAGGAGCAGAGCCAATCTGAAGCCAGGAGCCCTCTGAGGATTCTGGAGTTTGTTTTGGGTTTCCCATGCTGATATAGGGTCCCAAGACCTTGGGCTATTCCCTCCACTGCCCTCCCAGTGCACAAACAGGCAACTGGATGGGAAGTGAAGCAGATGGAACATGAACTGGCACCCATATGGTATCCTGGGGCATGCAATGAGAGAATTTAGCGACTAGGTTATTGTACCAGGCCCACACGAATATTTTTAAAATTTGGAGCCTGGTGGGGTTGGCACAGCGGCATGTCACTTAAATCCTTAGCCTGCAGTGTCCTGGCTTATTGACTTCTGATCCAGCCGCATGCTTATTGCCAGGGAAAATGGCAGCAGATGACAGTCCTCAAAAACCTACACCCACATGGGAGGTCTGGAAGAAGCTCCTGGCTTCTGATCAACTGAGCTGCAACTATTGTATCCATTTGGAAATTGAACCAATGGACAGAGTATCTTTGTGTCTTCCTCTTTGTGTAAATCTGCCTTTCAAACAAAAATGACTCTTAAAAAAAATGTACTTACAGGGATGTATGGGTGAAAGGACAGAAGTGCTTAAGCCATTAACTTCTAATAGAAAGTTGGATGGGAAGTGGAGGAGTAGAGACTTGCACCAAGTCTTCTGAAATGAGATGCTAGCAGGGAAACAGCTCATAACAACCCCTTCTGCATAGAACATTTTATTCACAAGTTTATTGGACATAAGATTTATTGTTTGGCTTTCATATAATTACAAAGAAAGTTGCGAATAAGACTATTCTCAAATTCATGCCTTCTAAAGCCTACCTGGGGAAACTACATTCATTCGCCTGAAATATTAAGCAACAGCTAAGAAGAGGTCCTCTTCTCTCATGAAATTTTGTAGCTATATATATTGGGGTTCCCTTCCCCAAGGGCAGTCTGGCATTATTCTCTGAATTTCAAATGCACACATCTTCCAACTCATGGAACAAATTTCAAGGAGAGTACTGAAAGAAAGATGGTAAAATGTGCAGATACTTGTATACAACATGCACAGGAATGTGAACTTTAATATGTCATAGTGAAAAACTGGGAACAATCTACATATCTGAATAATGATATACCCAAAAATGCAAGTGGTACTAACAGCTCAGAAAATTTTCAGCTAGTGAATGGATTAACATTGTTCCATGTTGTAGTACTACATGTATATGATGATTCCATTTTTGAATAAAGACCAGTTTTTTGCTACATTTTTATATATATAGAGAAAATGTTGCATGAATATTCAATAAAGACCAGGAAGGTTAAATCTGGAAAGTAGAAGTGTCATTTGCAAGGTTTTTTTTTTTTTTTCTTTCTACACTTTTGTATTTAAAGAATTTTTAAGCTTGTTAATAAAAGTTTTTCAAAAATAGAAAACAACATGAAGTATTTTCTCCGCGGCGAACAGGGCATAGTACAGACAGTAGTGGACTGTAGGAATACAGAAGGGGGTTATAAGGGCTCCCTGTAATTTAAAGAAGATACAAAAGGCGTTTTGAGGTTCAAATAGCCCAGACAGAAGCACAGAGGCAGGAGAGCACTCGTCCTCAGAGGACAGCAAAGATACATGGAGAGTTGGGAATAAATGTGGTCCTAAGAAGCCCGTGCAGGCGTCTGAGGTATCGCTGAGAGCGAAGAATGCGGTATTTTTTAAGATTAAATTTGCGGTAGTGCTGCAGTGTGGAAATCAGTGAGGGTTAGCATCTGCAGGATGGGTATACACCAGGGGGTGCTGTTTCAGAACGAGGGGCCCGCTCGAACTCAGGCAAGCAAAGAACGTACCGCAGGAAAAACGGCAGACAGAAACCTTTCAAGACACATCGACAGCAAAGAAATGACTCGCCAATGTCAAAATGTCAACTTTGTCTTTTTTCCTGCACGCCTGCAGCAACCAGTTTCTTCGGGTACCCTCAACTTGGGCACTACAGTACCACCAGAGAGCCTGCCACTCGGTCTCGGCGGAAAGAGACTACAACCCCCAGGGTCCTTCGCGCGAGGCCAGTTTCTCTTCCTAGATGCAAAAGGATCCTACCGCACAGCCTTCTGGGGTCTGTAGTCTTGCGGGGTCACTCGGGAGTTGTAGTTCGCTTCCCACAATCGGCTGGGCGAGGCGGCGCCGGCGATCAGAGCAGCGCTGGGTGTTCAGGGGCCAAGATGGCGGCGCGCCGGGGACGCAGAGACGGAGTCGCGTCGTCCCCGGCTGGGGGCCCTGGTCCGGACCCCGGCGGTGGAGTCCGCAGTAGCGGTTGGAGCAGTCGAAGCCCAGCGCCGTACGGGACCGTGGGCGCTGTGAGCGGTGGAGAGCAGGTGAGAGGCTGGCGGGCGGCCCGCGGCTGGCAGCAAAGCGGCGTGTGCCGGGCGGTGACACGTGGACGCCACAGAAAAGGGAGGAAGCGCTTGGGAGTCGATGCCGGGTGGCCGAAGCAGTCCGGATGGACCGAGTAGAGCTTACTCGTGGGCTGGGGGTACGCCGGCAAAGGCAGGGTCCCTGTGCCCATTCCTGGGGAACACCTGGGGGACAGAACCGGCATGCAGGAGTGAGGGCCCGTGGTGGCAGGTTAAGGATTCGTAATGGGAGTCGTAGTCTAAACATCTCCTTCCCCCAGACACCCTACCCCGAGGATGCCGAATGGGGCTCTCCTCGGCTTGGCGCCGCAGTTCCTTTTTCGGAGCCACGTGGGGTGTGTGGGGGGAATGATTTTCCCGGGAGAACTTGTCTGCTTCCCCTCCCCCTACTCGCGGCCCGGGCACCCACGTGGGTTGGGCTCCGGACGAGGGCGGGGCGGGGGGCGCGGGGCGCGGGTCCACGTGGGGGCGGGGAAGGGACGTCCACGTGGCTCTCGTCCCAGGCTGTCGGGCGTCTCGTGTCGGCTGGGAGCCGCACTGCCGGGAACTGGGTGTGTCTCAGCCGGTCCCGCCATCTCCAGCCGGGGCTGGGGGGCCTAGCCGGAAAGGAAGCTAGGGGCTGCTAGAGTCAACTTTGCCCAGAGTCTTGGTAGTTTTCTTCCTCCGGCTTGCGTCCCCAGCGCTTCTCGACAGCTGGTGGTGAAGGGCTTTCCAGATGCTGGGGGAAGCTGTTCTCTGCGGATGGCGGAGTGTGATGGGAGGGTAGTGGCTGCGCCTTGAAGGTGTGTGGAGGAGTGAGCTTGTGGCCGCTTCTGTCAGACCGGCTTGGAGTGGATCGTGAGTCATGGGCATCGGCGTTCTGGTTGCCAGAAACCCTGCCTTCTGCATGATTCCAGGGGGCGTGGAGAGGGTCTGCATATGCCTGGGACGCGCTGAAATCGGGGAAGGATACTCTTCTTCCCTCCTTTCTTCTCCAGCATTTTTTCGGAGGGAGACAGTTCAGGCCTGTTCTTGTAAACCGACTTAAGGACATTAATTGGGTTTTTTTTTTTTTTAAGGTTCTTGGCAATGTATGTTGGAGATGGGAAATATTGGAGATGGTTTGAGTGCTGTTTCATGCTAGTTTCATGCTTGTTGGACGGGTGGTGGTGATGTTTGAGATGGTGAGGGGGCTGGGGATAGGTTCTGTCTCAGTGGAGGGCTTTTAAAAGTTCCCATTCAGTGTCGCAGTTGGAAGGAATCATTTGGAACTGTTGTTTGTCTTAAGTTGAACCTTGTCAGTATTTGTTTCTAGGTTGCAGTTGGGTTCCAGGCTTCCCTGTAGTGTTCAGTATGGACCATTCCAGGCCCTTGCTTGGGTGGTGGTGGGGGTGATGGCTTCTAGGGCATCCATTTGGAAGAAGTCCAACCCTTCCTTATTATTATTATTATTATTATTATTTTTTTTGAGATGACATTTTTTGGAAAGTGGTGTTGCCTGCATCCTAGGGGAGAGGCAGGAGGGATGCAGCTGTGATGCAAATTAGGGAGTCATTTGGGGGAGATTGTCTTTAACATGGATGTGAGTCAGGCAGCCACCTCAATGGACATACCAAGTGTTCAGAAACAGGCGTTAACACGGGCAAACCGCAAACATGGTTCTTGCCTTCTAGGAGCTTATGTTTTAATCAAAGATCCCCTCCCCCTGGGAAAGAAATAGGACTGGGACAAACGGGATGTGCAGACTATTGGGGTTATGTAATCAGTGGTAATACTGCACTTTTGCAGTGTCTGGGAAAGGACATTTTAAGCTGAGAGCCAAGACTTTGATCAGAAGGAATCCAAGGAGAGAAGATGGTTTGTTAGAGAAATAGGATGGGATGACGGAAGGGGACATGCTGGTGAGGAAATGCAGGACCCCTGCTGAGAGAGAGGATGTTATAGAGGGTGATTAGACATAAATTTTTAGAAGTTTCTAACTGGTTTGAACTCTTCAGGAACAAGATTGACTTGAGAGAAGGCAGTTGTGAGGCTGTTGAACTTAGAGATGCTGTTCAGGTGGCTACTGCTGGGTTAGCCTGCAAGATAGACTGGGGGTGGAGATGTCCCTGGCTTGGGCTCTTGTGCCTGAGTGATGGAGGTGGCTATGACTGGTTGGTAGAGCTGGGCGTTGTACTGAGTTTCCAGCCTGGTGGTTGGGGCTCATCAGGTAGGTAGGTGGTAGGGCAATTAGGCATCCAGCCTCCTTACTCACTCAGGAGAGTTTGCTGAGCCAGGAGCTGGTTGTAAGTAATTACAGGATTGGAAAGGCTTGGGAGGGGTTAGTAGCTGAAACCTGTTGCTTTGACTCTCTGGGCCTAGCTTGCTGAAGTGTCCCTTTTAGGCCTTCCCTCTCCCTGCATATTTTAACTCTTCACCTTTGGGAATGGGGGAGTGTGTTAGAGCTAGTATCACCTCTTTAGTTTTCTCTTTTTGAAGAATTGAGGTGCAGTTTCTTTTTATAGCAGGATGGGGAGGGGTCCTGCTGCTATCTGACCTTGTACTCAGGTCTTCACTGGTTTTCTGGAGAAATACTTGTTGCTCTGGGCCCTGCCCTTACCCATTCTAGCCATTTCTGACCCTGCCTACACCCACATTGTTGACAGGTTTGGGCAGGTGCCTTGCTGCTATCTCTCAGAGGACATCTGCAGCATCAGACTTTATCTTTTGTTTTCACCTAGCAGAGGCAGGGAAATAGACCGCCCCTTCCCTTGGGACTATCATTGAAAGATTAGTGGCACTCCATTGTGCTTTTAGAATAGAAGTATGACCTGTGTGTGATTGTCATCTGCCTATCAGACATTGTGCTAAGAATTATGGGTAACTGCGAGGTATTAGTACATTTTAAACTCTTGTAGTAGCCAAGGATAATATGAGCTAACAGAATGCAAAGGGGTTATTTGGAACTTGGAACCCAGTTTTCATAGAGATACAGGGAATGATTTGGGATGAGGAGGCAGACTGTGACTGCCAGAAAAGCAAATGCTAGAAGAATACCTGGGGCCCGGCAGCATGGCCTAGTGGCTAAAGTCCTCACCTTGAACGCGCCGGGATCCCATATGGATACCGGTTCTAATTCCAGCAGCTCCATTTCCCATCCAGCTCCCTGCTTGTGGTCTGGGAAAGCAGTCAAGGACGGCCCAAAGCCTGGGGACTCTGCACCCGCGTGGGAGACCTGGAAGAAGTTCCTGGCTTCTGGCTTCGGATTGGCACAGCACTGGCTGTTGCGCTCACTTGGGGAGTGAATCATTGGATGGAAGATCTTCCTCTCTGTCTCTCCTCTCTGTATATCTGCCTTTCCAATAAAAATAAAATAAATCTTTATAAAAGAAGAATATGTGGTGCTCCACACTGGGGACCCTGGTATGGTTGGGGTGCTGGGTGTGGCTTCTCCCCTTATCTCCCCTCTTCTCCCAGATATAGGAAGGAAAAAAAGAATGTGGAAATAATGGTCTCACCCACCTTCCTGTAGCCCTTAACCCTTTGCACCCTAATCAATTATGTAAAAATCTTCAAAAATAAAAATAATTATCTTGGGGAAAAAAAGAATATGTGAATTTAGAGGTGGGGAGAGACCAGCATTGGCTGGGGAAATTTAAGGTATCTTCTTAAAGAAGGAAGCATTTGGGGCTGCCCCATGGCATATAAGTTAAGTCTATCTGTGGCACTGGTATTCCACATGGGTGTCAATTTGAGTACCAACTGCTTCACTTCTGACTCAGCTTCCTGCTAATGGCCTGGGAAAGCATCAGAGGATGGCCCTAGTGCTTGATCACCTGCACACATGAGAGAGACCTAGAAAAAGTATCTGGTATTGGACTGGTCCAGTTCCAACTGCTGTGGTAGTTTGGATAGTGAAACAGTGGAATGAAAGATCCTGCTCGCTCTCTCTAGCTTTCCTTCTCTCTGTAACTCTGCCTTTCAAATAAAAATAACTCTTTAGAGAAAAAAAAAGTAGCATTTGTGCTAAGAGGGATTTTCAGGTGCGTGCTGGTTCTGTTGGCTTCACCACACTAGCAGGTGACTTCTAAACAATCTTGATCATTCTGATGTTTTTATTCCCCACGTTAATAATCCCTTGTGACTTCAGCTGTTGCTGAATGAAGCCTAATTTTTTTTTTTCTGCCCAGCACATGGCTCTCCTGGTTGGCTTTTGCTCATGGTTTGTGTTTCTCCCAGCCCAGCTTGCAGCTTGGCAGTAGTGGGGCTGCTGAATTTGGCCCTGCTGGTGGAGGGTTGGGGACCTGGCTTATTGAACTGTTAATCAGTTACCCCCAAATCACCCAAGCTGTTACTACCTTTCTTCCTTTCTGCTTTAGATGTTGCTGCATGAGGAGGTGGATGACTCTGGCTTTGTCAATCTTTCTCGGCTGGGCCCCTCTCTGAGGGACAAGGACCTAGAGATGGAAGAGCTGATGCTGCAGGATGAGACACTGCTGGGGACCATGCAGAGCTACATGGATGCCTCCCTCATCTCCCTCATTGAGGACTTTGGCAGCCTTGGAGAGGTGAGCTGGAGCTGGACTTTGAGGTGTTCAGTTTTGTATGGAATTGCTTTTAGGCATGGATCTGTTCTTCCCGGATCTTGGCTTCTGGGCGCCCAGCCTGAGTCTTTGAAAGTCTTTTAGTTTCTAGATGGGAATGAGCCTGCAGACTACCAGATTATGTCCTGGCTAGCTGGGGCTATAGTCCAAGGTCTTGTTCGCTATTTGGGCCTCCACCCTAGGGTGGTGATTTTAGCTTTTGAGCCCAATTCCAGTCTGGCCAGAGGTTGGGTTAGGGTGCTGGGTACTCTGCTGAGCATCCCCATCTTGTGCAAAGGTGGGAGAGATTGTGAAACTCAAGCAGAAGACTCACTGACACTAGAGAGGTGATGAATGGTCGAGAGCCTGGAAGTCTGACTCTAGGTACTCAGATTGCTCGCTGGCAAATTGAGCTGCTGAGATTGGGAGGTAGTTTCCTTGGCATCCAGTCGTCAGTGGCCAAGAAATGAGTAAAGATGTTGGTGGGACCTTTGTGTTGTCTTTCTGGAGCAGAGCAAGTTATCGCTGGAGGACCAGAATGAAGTGTCACTGCTGACAGCTCTGACAGAGATCTTGGACAATGCGGATTCTGAGAATCTGTCTCCGTTTGACAGCATTCCTGACTCGGAGCTGCTTGTGTCACCTCGGGAAGGCTCCTCTGTGAGTGTGGGACCCAGGGAAGGGGACACGTGGCCATGTTTAGGTTGAACCACAGACTGATCTCAGGTCTTTCCCTCTTAGCTGCACAAACTGCTCACTCTCTCTCGGACACCTCCAGAACGTGACCTCATCACCCCAGGAGACTCACTGGGGTCTGGCACAGGCAGCAGTAGAGTGAATGGGGTAAGCCTGACCTGCGAACTCTTAAGGAGCTCCTGGGTGGCAGTGGTAGGTGGGTACGGGTTTGAAGAATACTTGCCTGAAGAAAATTCTTGAGGCTTCTCTTTGTTTCCTCCTGCAGGTTGAGATGTCTCTTACAGATCCCTCTTGGGATTTCTCCCCACCTTCCTTCTTAGACACGTCTTCCCCCAAGCTTCCTAGCTGGAGACCGCCAAGGTCAAGACTACGGTGGGGCCAATCTCCTCCTCCCCAGCAGCGTAGTGATGGAGAAGAGGAGGAGGAGGCAGTTAGCTTTAGCAACCAGATGCTTCCTGGGGAGCTCACCAACTTAGCGAGCAATGTCCCGGACTTCCCTATGCACTTGGCCTCTCCCGAGGAGGAAGACGAAGTGTCAGCAGCAGAAATGGCAGAGCCAGTGGCTGGCGATGAGAGCATCTCCTCCCTGAGTGAGCTGGTGCGTGCCATGCACCCGTACTGTCTGCCCACACTCACCCACATGGCATCACTAGAAGATGAGCTTCAGGAGCAGCCTGAGGATTTGACGCTGCCTGAGGGTTGTGTGGTGCTGGAGATCGTGGGCCAGGCAGCCACAGCTGGTGACGACCTGGAGATCCCAGTGGTGGTGCGGCAGATCCCTCCTGGACCTCAGCCTGTGCTCTTGAATGACACGCTTGAAGAGAGTCCTGCCTTGCAGCTGCTCATGCCCACTTTGGAGTCAGAAGCAGAAACAGCTGTACCTAAAGTTGCCCTCTGTCCTGAGAAAGACGGCTTGTCACTGGATTCTGAGAAGCTGGACTCAGCCTGCTTGTTGGAGCCCAGTGAGGTCATGGAACCCAAGGGGCAGAAATCACCTACTAATTCAGTCCTAGGTTCCCAGAGAACACGGAAGGTCAGGAAGAAGAAGAGCAAGGAGCAGCCAGCAGCTGGTTCAGAAAGCTGTTCCAGAAGGCTGAGGTCATCAAGTCGTGTTCAGTGTTCCATGGCTGTAGAAGGGACCTCTCAGGCTGGCAACCTGCTGAAAAAGCCTCAGGAGGAACTTCAGAGAGAGAGTGGGCCACCTCAGGGTAGGGGAAAGCCCCGGGCTTGGGCTAGGGCCTGGGCAGCAGCCTTAGAAAAGCCTCACTCTGGAAATCTGGAGCAGAGTGCTGGACGGGCTAGTCCTGCAGAAGATCCTCTAGACATTTACTCCAAGCTGGTTGATGCTGTCCAAGCCAGTCCTGCCCCAGCCCATCTCTTCCTGGCAGACTCTGAAGAATCTGGGCCCCCTGCAGGTGACCCTGTGTCTGTGGACCCTGTGTTGGTTGAACCTCTCCTCGCATCAGACCCAGTGCAGATTGGTCCTGTCCTGTCTGGCTCTGCAGCAATTGACACCGCAGTGGCTGTTCCTGTCTCCAATAATGTGCCATCAGTCAGTACTGTAGTAGCTGATCCAGAGCCAGTCGTCAACCCTGCACCAGTTGACTCTGTTTCCCGTGACCTGGCCCAAGGTAACCCTGTGCCAATTAAATCTAGACCGACTGACCCCAGACGTGCTGCAGTAGCATCAGCCCGGGCGAGTCCAGTTCTCCACCTTCCAGAGTCAGGATGTTCAGATGCTCCAAAGACTGTCAACCCTGAAATCAAAGAAGTTGTGGATCCTTTGAAGGTGGAAAGTGGTACCAGTACCACAACCCAGGAAGCCAGACCTCGGCCTCTCAGCCTGTCTGAGTACCGGCGCCGACGGCAACAACGTCAAGCAGAGACAGAAGAGAGGAGTTCCCAGCCCCCAGCTGGGAAGTGGCCCAGCCTCCCAGAGACCCCTACAGGGCTGGCAGACATCCCTTGTCTTATTGTACCACCAGCTCCAGCCAAGAAGACAGCCTTGCAGAGAAATCCTGAACTTCCCCCTGAGAGTGGCTTTGTGCCTATGGGTCCCAGTCCTGCTTCTACTAGTCCCGAGCCACCAGCAGGCAAACCTATGGCCTCAATTCCTCCTGAGCAAGTGTCATCCCAGGAGATGCCTCTTCTGGCCAGGCTTCCCCCTCCACCTGCACAGTCTGTGTCCTCTGTTGGGCCCATGCCTCCCCCTATGCCCACTGCTCTGCCTTTTCCCCCAGGTGGGCTGGGCATGCCCCCTATGCTGCCTCCACCCACAGGTGGGCATGGGGCTCCCAGTCTGCTGCCACCGCCACCTCCAATGCAGCCTGCTGGTCTCCCAGTGTCTGTGGGGCCAGTGCCACCTGATCCCTATCCTCACTATGCTTCTGTGTCTCCCTGGCCTTGTTATCCCCCTTCTGGCTATCCTTGCCTGCCTCCCCCACCAGCAATGCCCCTTGTGTCTGGTACTCCTGGCACCTATGCTGTGCCCCCTGCTTGTAATGTGCCTTGGGTACCCCCTCCTGCTCCAGTGTCTCCTTACAATTCCACCTGTACCTATGGTCCAATGGGGTGGGGCCCAGGGCCACAACATCCTTCATTCTGGTCTGCTGTTCCCCCACCTCCTTTACCTCCAGCATCTGTTGGGAGAGCTGCTCCACCACCCAAGGTGGAGCCCAGTGGTATTCCAGCTGGCCCTCCTGAAAATGTACCTTCCATGCCTGTGGCTCCTTCCCTTGCTATTGAATCACCTGGCCATGGAGCTCCACAGATTGAGCTCACCAAGGCAGAGAAGGCAGAGGTCAAACCTGTACCTGCATCTCCTCAACCAAAACATAAAGGGTCCCCCATGGGGCAGAGCCCCCGTGGTAAGGCTCCCCCTTGTCCACCCGCTGAGGGACTGGCTGTTGATCCTGTCTTAGAGAAGCCACAGCCTGAGCCCCAGGAGAGCAGGCCCAGGGAGAAGCCCCCATCTCCTGCCACCAAGCCTGCTCCTACATCAAGGCAGAGCTCTGTACCCAAGCTACCTGCTGTCCACCCAGCCCGTCTAAGGAAGCTGTCCTTCCTGCCTGCCCCACGTGCCCAGGCTCCTGAGGATGTAGTGCAGGCTTTCATCAGTGAGATTGGTGAGTACCACCTGGGTCAGTCTGTGGAAAGGGCATGGGTGGCTGAGGAATGCTGTCGTTGAAATAGGGTAGACCACCTTGAAGAGGCTAGTGTTTGTGGGGTCACTTGAAGGGTTGAGGTTTGTTAGAGTCCTTTGGGCTTGTGCTGTTGCCTTGGTGGCACTCAGTACAGGGGTCTGGGGCATGTGGAGAGAGACGGGAGGTGATAAACTGCTTCCTGGGATCTGTGGACTGATTCAGTAGGTAAAGGCTAGGTTTTAATGCTGTATTGTGTGCCTCCACAGGGATTGAGGCATCGGATCTGTCCAGTCTGCTGGAGCAGTTTGAGAAATCAGAAGGTAAGGGAACCTAGGTAGTGTTCCCTCCTGCTTTTGGGTTGTTGATAATTCCTTTAGGCTCAGCTCTGCAGTGTCCTAAAATGGAGTGGTACATTGGGCAGGAGGGCAATCTCAGCCAATAGAGCAGCTCTCTAATTGCCACAAGGAAGCAAGATTTGCCCATGACACTGGTGGAATCTTGGGCAGTGGTAGAACCTGGGATAGTGGTGGCACAGAATAAGTGCTTTTCTAGACAGGGAGATCCAGGTGGGGTTGGGATTGTTGGGAGACAACTTTCAACAAGGGAAGAAGCCCTCAATTGGGCATTGAAAGACAGGAATTCCCAGAATGTATATAGTGAAGAGAAGCAGAGAAGAGGAGGTATAGGAAGGCCACTGGTGGATTTGGCAGTCAAGAAATAGTTCTGTTTTTGTTTTTTTTTTCAAGATTTATTTATTTTTATTGCAAAGCCAGATAGGAGGAGGAGGAGAGACAGGAAGATCTTCCGTCCGATGATTCACTCCCCAAGTGAGCGCAACGGCCGGTACTGCACCAATCCGAAGCCAGGAACCAGGAACCTCTTCCTGGTCTCCCACGCGGGTGCAGGGTCCCAAAGCTTTGGGCTGTCCTTGACTGCTTTCCCAGACCACAAGCAGGGAGCTGGATGGGAAGTGGAGCTGCTAGGGTTAGAACCGGTGCCCATAAGGGATCCTGGCGTGTTCAAGGTGAGGACTTTAGCCGCTAGGTCACGCCACCAGGCCCAACAAATAGTTCTGTTTTCTTAATGTAAGGCATGGCTCGGGGTGCTGTGGAGGATTCTCCTAATTTAGGCCTGTTCTGAAGGAGCTTATGGCTTGCTTGAGGAAAAGAACTTGCAGAAGTGACTACCGAGTTGGATATAGGTCTCTAGTGGACAGCCAAATAATGTACTGCAAGGGAAGGTTGTATAAACCTTGAAAGCTAGCTGTATAAATTTATGTCAAATTTAGGGGGAATGTCCGTGTTTCCTAGAAGAGATGTGATTAAACAGCACTGGGGCACCCCCTGGTGGAGATTGGCTCTCTCTGGGGCCAGTTTAACTGGGACTAGATAGACACCTTGGTAAAGTGATTCTTCCCCCTTTGGGTCTCAGAGCAAGCCCTGTGCACCACTTCAGTCTGGAGCATCTCCATGGGCTTTAACTAGTATGGTTTCCTTGCAGCCAAAAAGGAGTGTCCTCCCCCGGCTCCTGCTGACAGCTTGGCTGTAGGAAACTCAGGGTAAGTATGGAGACCTTGGAGCGAGTTACCCTACAGCTGTTGGTCAGCAGCCGGCGGCACTCCAGGACTGTCGACTCGATGCCTCTGAGGCAGGACGTCAGTCAGCGGGAAGACTCCGTTTGCTCGTCCCCTCCTGCCCATCACTGCTGGGCACTGGTCTTGGGCAGTGAGGTGGGATTATGTGTCCTACCCGGCTGACTCCAGTCAAGGATTCCAAATGCCTTGGAGGTGCCCTGCTATATTCTGGCAGGTCACGCCTTGAGGATTTCCTGCCTTCACTTAATAGACTAAGCTTGTTCAGTATTGGTGAGGGGATAACTTACAGTAAGGGAAGATGTTAATGGCTGTTTTTGTTTGTTTGTTTGTTTCTTGACCCCTCCCGTACCTCCTTGCTCCCCAGTCTCCAGTAATTAGACAGTTTTTTTGTTTTCATGGTCATGTTACCTCATCCTGTTCTGCCAAACATCTTCCCCTCCACATTGGTTTCACCTTGATTTGAGCTGAGCAGGTGAGGCTCCTGTTTTGAAGGAGGTGGCAGGTAATGTTCAAAGTCATAGCTTTCCTGCCTCCAGAAGTTGGGCAGATCTGAGACCCAGTGTACTGTTGAGTACTTAAGGCCCTTTTATTGCTGAAGGAGGGTAATGGAGCAGTGTGTGCATCCCATTCTTTGTATGCACCCCCTTCTGTTGCTTTGTGAGGAAAGCAGATGTGCAAGATATTAAGGAGGCAATGAACCAGGCTTTCCCTTTTCCCCCCCGCCAGCAGCGTTGACACTCCCCAGGAGAAGAGGCCCCTAGACCGGTTACAAGCCCCAGAACTGGCCAACGTGGCAGGTGGGTTCACGGTGGGGAACTCTGCCTATCACCAGTTGATACAACAAACGTGTGCAGAAGCTGCTCCACCTAAAGTGTGTGTAGGTGTTGATGCGAAGATTTGATCTCTGTTTTCAGGTTCAGCCTAGTGGACAGATTTGTAAACAAATGGGCGTGTTAAGTATCAGGTAGTGTGGTAAATTGTGGTTTACAGTGAGATCTGAAAGGACAGTCTAGAGAGGTTATATAGGAAGTTACCACCCAAGATGAAGTGTGAGGAAGTGTTGGTAATTGACCAGGTGATAGATTTCAGGGATGGGGCCTTGTAGGCAGATGGAGCAGCTTCAGTGAGCTGAAGAAACAATCTAGCTGGTATGTTTTGGGGAATTGAGTGGCTTGATTTGAGTGGAGTGGCTGGTGCAGGGTGGTGGGTAGAGCTAACGCAAGATCCAGAGTGGCAAATAAAGTCAGGTTGTGGGAACTTTGGATGCTGTTTTAAGTTTAGACTTTGTGTGTTAAAGAAGCAGTTGAAAAATCTGCCTGGAAGGCAGAAGATAAGTAGACAGATATAAAGTTGGAAGTAGGGAGATAATCTAAAGGTTATCTTACAAGTCCAAGCAAGATGCAGCCCAGAAGTCAGGCAGCACTGTGTGAAGAGGGTGAATCTATGAAGCAAGAGGTAAATTGGATTGTGCCTGGTTACCAGCTCAGTTTGGCCAGAAGGTTCAGGGGGGATGCTGGTGGCTGGGTTGACTTGCTGGTTCCCAAGATGGGGAAGGAACAGTTGAAACAGCACAAGTTGGCCTGTTTACCACTTTGGTGTGCTGTGTGTGAGATGAGGTGGGGTTCTCGAGCCTGTGTATGCAGTATTTGGAAGCAGAATCGGATCTCATCGTACTATCTCCATCCTCCCTCCCCTCACAGGGCTCACCCCTCCAGCCACCCCTCCCCACCAGTTATGGAAGCCCCTGGCTGCTGTCTCACTGCTGGCCAAAGCCAAATCTCCTAAGTCTACCGCCCAGGAGGGAACCCTGAAGCCTGAAGGAGTTACAGAGGCCAAACATCCAGCTGCAGCCTGCCTCCAAGACGGGGTTCATGGTCCTAGTCCTGTCCACGTGGGCTCTGGGGACCATGACTATTGTGTCCGGAGCAGGACCCCCCCAAAAAAGATGCCTGCCCTAGTTGTTCCAGAGGTGGGCTCCCGATGGAATGTCAAACGCCATCAGGATATCACCATCAAACCTGTCTTGTCCTTGGGCCCAGCCGCTCCTCAGCCCCCATGCACAGTGGCCTCCCAGGAGCCACTGGATCACAGGACTAGCAATGAGCAGGCAGATCTCTCAGCACCTTGCCTTGCCCCATCTGCCTTGCTGTCCCCTGAGGCCTCACCCTGCCGAAATGACATGAACACTAGGACTGTCCCAGAGCCTTCAACCAAGCAGCGAGCAGTGCGCTGCTACCGCAAACCCTGCAGGTCAGCCAGTCCCCCAGACCGGGGGTGGCAAGGCCGCCGTGGCCGCAGCAGCCGCTCTGTCAGCTCTGGGTCCAACCGGACCAGCGAAGCATCTTCCTCTTCATCCTCATCGTCGTCTTCCTCATCCCGATCCCGGTCCCGGTCCCTCTCCCCCCCACACAAGAGGTGGCGAAGGTGAGCTCTGATGGCCTTGTTAGGTCTCCTGTATTTAGGAAGTTCATATAATCTCTGGTTCACTCTGAAAGCTTGTACACATTGACTTTGGTATCTCTGGGCACTACAGATTCCTATTTCTGTCTTGGCTTTTGTCTTCTTCCCTTCCCTGTTTTGTTGAAGGCAGCCGACTGTGAGGTGATAGCTTCTACTCCCTGTTGGAGTTTGGGGGGTATTGCTGAGGTCTCCTGCTTTCTTGAGACCTGACCTGTCTTGAGGAGACTAGGGTTTGATCTTGACCAAGGTGATTTCACAGACTGTGTTAGACCTCATGGTGTTTTCTCAGTGGGATGTGAGATAATTGATTAATTGTTTAGGGGAAGATAATTCATCCTTCAACCATTGGTTGGAAAAGTTGGCTGGGGCAGTTCCTATGGGTATTGCTGTGACCTCATTATTGTGTAGTAGTGTATTTTTCTCAGTTTTGGGTCCAAGTTTTCCCACTTGATCAGTGAACTCTCAGATTTTGGCAGTAATGCATGTTGTCAAAAATGCCCCCTAGTTTAGGACTAGTACAATGACATTCCTTTATGCCATGGTCACAGTATTCCTTTGAAGTGTGCTGTGGGAGCAGGAAGAGCTCAAATAGTCAGGTCTGGTCCCAACACCTCAGATGGTTGTAAGGCCTAGGGCCCTGCCCATTCTCTCCCTCTTTCCATTTCTTTTTGACTAAGTATTTTTCAAGTTTTAAGTGCACAATCGACAATAAATATGCCTGTCAGAACACTCCAAAGTATTCCAGGTACTATCTAAGTTTCCATGAAGGACCTGTGTTAATCTGTGAACAACAGTAATCCTTCTAGGTGTCTCTGCTCTGCTTTACTTTTGGTTCTGAGCCTCCTGATCAGGAGGCAGGGCTGGGGCTTGGGTGAGAAAAGCAAAGTGCACTTGCACTGGTCCCTACATCCTGGCATGCCCTTTGACTCTCCAGGTCCAGCTGCAGTTCCTCTGGGAGATCCCGAAGATGCTCTTCCTCTTCTTCATCTTCCTCCTCTTCTTCGTCCTCCTCATCCAGTTCCCGAAGTCGCTCCCGCTCCCCATCCCCTCATCGGAGAAGTGACCGGAGGCGGCGGTGAGCATGGCCTGGGATTCGGGTGCCTGAGAGTTCAGAGTCATGAACTATCTTGTGTGTCGGGGTCTGATGACACCTTCTCTTGTCAGGTACAGCTCTTACCGATCACATGACCATTACCAAAGGCAGAGAGTGTTGCAGAAGGAGCGTGCAATAGTGAGTAGAGGACAGTCATGGGTGGCGGAGGCTTGCCCTCCTGAGCAGGGAGCTCAGGAAGCCAGCTGCAGCCCTGACTCATATTGTGTCAATTTGCCTTGACATCCTAACCTAGGAAGAGAGAAGGGTGGTCTTCATTGGAAAGATACCTGGCCGTATGACTCGGTCAGAGCTGAAACAGAGATTCTCTGTGTTTGGAGAGATTGAGGAGTGCACCATCCACTTCCGGGTTCAAGGGTAAGCTTGGCTCTAAGGTCAGGATGGACTTGGTACCCCGTTTTCATCTACCTTCTTGGTTGTCTTCCTGCTCTGAATTGCTAGGCAGTGGTGGGTGTGAGGGGCAGGGAGAGACCTTATTTTCCATGTCAGGTTTGGCTATTGGGCAATGAGAAGCACTCTGGTGTGCTGTGTCTTGGCATGTGCCCAAATGAGCACCTCAGCTTCTGCCTCACCCTCCCACCAGTGACAACTATGGCTTCGTCACTTACCGCTATGCTGAGGAGGCCTTTGCAGCTATTGAGAACGGCCACAAGCTGCGCCAGGCAGATGAACAGCCTTTTGATCTGTGCTTTGGGGGCCGCAGGCAGTTCTGCAAGAGGAGCTATTCTGATCTTGGTAAGTGGAGGGCCTGTGGTCTCAACATTCTTCATTTCCTCTACAAAAGGGTTGAGAGTGGAGGTAGACAGGTTTGTCTGCATTTGACAGAGAACCTAAGGGGTAGGTTGAGTAGCTAAAGGAGGGTCTCCCATCCTTGACTTTGGGCAGTTTGAACTGCATCTGTTTTTTGGATGGGAAGACCCTGTGATTATGTGATCAGAGAGCTTGACATTTGTCTCTGTCTTTACTTTATAGACTCCAACCGGGAAGACTTTGATCCTGCTCCTGTAAAGAGCAAATTTGATTCTCTTGATTTTGACACCTTGTTGAAACAGGCCCAGAAGAACCTCAGGAGGTAACCCTGGGCCCTTCCCCCGTCCCTTTTTCTTTGGAGGTGCCCAACCTCCTCCACCCCCCTCCCCTACTCCAGGGGAGAGAGCTGCTAGTGAGGAGATGACTGTTTTATAAAGAAATGGAAAAAAGTGAAATAAAAATGTGTTAAATCAGGTTTCTTACAGGGTATTTGTCTTTTATAACAGGTATTGAAAAAGTGAATTTGCATTCATATGTAAGCTGGGTGGAACTGAGGGGTTCTCCCATTTGTTTGCAACAGCTAAGTTACAATGCAGGTTAATAAATATGGAACTGGAGAGTCAAGTCTCCCATGTTGTGCTGCTTTCCACAGCACAAGTGCCAGAGGCATTCACTTCACACTCACTTCTCTGGGACATGCCCACCTCTATCCAGTGCCTAGACCTGGAGCCAGGTGCACAATTAAACTCAGTTGGAAAGTTGTTTCCTCAGATGCTTTGTACTTAAAATTAGTTATTTAGGGTAGAACTCCTCAAAACTGAAAGAGCACCAATTCATCTAAGATCTTACCAGGTTCTTACTTATTTTGAGAGATTTTTATTGGAAAGTCAGATATACAGAGAGAAAAAGAAGACAGGAAGATCTACCATCTGTTGATTCATTCCTCAAGTGGCTGCAATGGCCAAAGCTGAGCTGATCCAAAGCCAGGAGCTTCTTCTGGGTCTCCCACGTGGGTGCAGGGTCCCAAGGCTTTGGGTCCGTCCTGGAGTGCTTTTCCTAGGTCACTAGCGGGGAGCTGGATGGGAAGTGGGGCCCATATGAGATCCCAGTGTGTGCAAGGCGAAGACTTTAGTCACTAGACTACTGTGCCGAGCCCAAGAGGTAGATCTTTGATCACTCCAAGTGCCTCCAGCAACCAGAGCTAAGGCAGGGCATAGCTGGCAGCTGGAAACACCTCTGGATCTCATGTTGGTGGCAAAGCCCCCAGTCCTTCGGCTGTCACTTGCTGCTGAGTAGGGTGCACATTAGCTGGAACCTGGAATCAATAAGCAGAGCCAGGAGTGAAGCCTGGCATTTCATCAATCTCTCAAGATGCTCCTGGAGATTTTGTAGGTTCTGACTGCTCGGGGAAAGGGGCTGAGAGTCTACATTTTGAATGGAATGATCTTGGTCCAGGAAGGATTTTTTGGCAGCTAGCATAAGACTGAGAAGCAGCTCATATTTATTCCAAATAAAAGGTTTTTCTAAATGGGCTGATGTGTGCACTCAGTGTTTTATTTAACAGATTTATTTGTTTGTCAGTGCTTGGCACAGCAGGTGTATGGCAGTTCATTCAAGAACACTTGTCTGTGGATAGACTTGGCTTTAGGGAAGAGGGCACTGTAGGAGGTCAAAGTGGGGAGTGTACCTAGGAAGTGGATCCTTGGGCAAAGTTAATGGGATGTATTTTAAAGGGAGTTTTGAAGGGATTGCTAATGTGACCAGAACTTGGACTAACCTGCTGAGTTTAGGCATTGGTTTATTCACAAGAGATGGAGTTCCCAGGGTGAATTCTGACCCATTATTCTGCAGGGATCTAAGGGTTGCTGCTATGATTGAGGTTTCTTGTCAACATTGTCCCATATGCAGTTCAACTAAACCTGACGTTATCTATAAGACCAGGAGGAACGTTGTCATAACTTACAAGCAAGTCCTGATTGAGGGAGAGGCAGTTTGTGGCGGCCACACGTTCCTCTTCCCAAAACTATTGAGCTTCAGCTGTGGAGGAGTCCAGGGTGGTATTGTGGGACCCTCACTGGGTACTGGAGGCAGGGACAAGGAGGAATCTACTGGCAATGTGAATGTGGGAGGCTGGGAGCGCTGGTGGCCATGTCTGGGCAAGTGAAGGGCAGCTGGAGAATCCAGGTCCAGCTGCGGCGCTGGAAACCTGTGCTCTGATTCTGCAACTTCGCGGAAAGAAGGCGCGGGAAAGCCCGAGTTTTCCCGCCACGCCAAGGGCATGACCCCTGACGTAAAGGCTCCGCCTTCACACGGACTCCACCCTTCCCGACATGGCGACGCGCATGGGACCGGAAGGAATTCCAAATTGACCCGGCCTCTGAGAGGGCGGGACGGCGCCGTGGAGCCTCACCTCTTCCGCTGTGCGCCCGCGCGGCGCCGTGACGTCGCACGCCCGCTGCCGGCCGCAGTCGCGTTCCTGGTTCAAGCTGCGTCGCGGACGGTAGTGACGTGCACGGCCTGGAGGATGGCGGACGCCGGCTTTCGCCGCGTGGTTCCCAGCGACCTGTATCCCCTCGTGCTCGGCTTCCTACGGGATAACCAGCTCACAGAGGTTGCCAACAAGTTCGCCAAAGCGACAGGCGCTGTGAGTCTTGGGCTTGGGACCCGCGGGCCAGGGTGGGGTGACCACGAGGGTCCGGGCCCTGACACGCTGGGGTTATCCTGACGAGCAAATCTGGGGGAGGATGGGGTCCAGCAGTCCGGTATCAGTGAGGCTTTTGTGCCGATTGGTCGGCAGTGACCGGAGGCAGCCCGTGGCCGCGGAGGGTCTTCTCCGGGCAGAGCGGCAGCGGCGTGGAGCCCTCGTGGTCTGCGTCACGTGGCGCCCTGACCCACCGAGGGCTTTGAGATTTTCCTTGGCTGAGGCAGCGCAGGGTTTGACCTTAGCTGCCATCGAACTTTCCTGATGCAGATAGATGAGATTGCCTTAGAAACAAAGCCGGGAATTTCTATTGGTTAAAGGAAGGTATTGGGACAAGTTGGATTCTGCTTTGGATGATACCGATTGTGATGCACGCCTCCCAGCAGATAGCAGTGGCTGGGAGGTACAGTCCACGCGACCGAACTGTTACTTTTGGAGATGAAGCCTTTGCCACTTGGAAGATGTAGGACCCAGGCAGCTTGATATAATCTCACTGTGTCTGTTTCTGAAGGGTGCAGATGTTACTGCTTGTTTTATGGGAGTTTAATGAATTTCAGTACAATAAAACGGAGGAATGTTCTGCATGAATGGGTGGTGGCCAAATCCTCACCTTGCATGCATCAGGATCTCATATGGGCGCCAGTTTATGTCCTGGCTGCTGCACCTTCCTTCCAGCTCCCTGCTTGTGGCCTGGGAAAACAGTAGAAGATGGCCCAGGGCCTTGGGACCCTGCACCCACGCGGGAGACCTGGAAGAAGCTCCTGGCTCCTGGCTCCTGGCTTTGGATTGGCTCAGTTCAGTTCTGGCTGCTGCAGCTTCTTGGGGAATGAATGAGTGGATGGAAGATCTCTGTCTCTCCTCTCTGTGGTCTGATTTTCCAATAAAAATAAATAAATTAAAAAAAAAAAAGAAAGCCATTAATACTAGTCAGGGCAGGTTAGTGTGCTGTAAGCAGATGTGAGAGCAAGAGAGAAGGAATGGATTAAGTTCTGCATCTCAGGAAGTGCATGTGCCAGGAGGCAGGCGTGGTGCAACTGGAAAGTTGGGCTGCTGCTTTGTAGCAGGATGCACTGGAGCAGCCCTCCATGGGCTCTCACCGCTTGCTTCTTCCTAGAGCTACTGGGGGGCGAGGGGAGACTGGGGCCAGAGTGTCCCTACAGTGAAGAAAGTTAGGAGTCTTGGGATATTTATATGACAAAAATTCATCTTTGTGGAGCCCTTTCTAAGGCCTAGATGCTAAGCCCTGTTGTGCCTTGTCACTTTTCCTCTCAGTGAAATGTAGAGTATCATCTTCATTTTGTAAAAAGAAAAAGTCTGAGATGAATGTGCTCAAGGTCACACCATGATAACAGGCAGAGGGAACTGTACTCATGGAGTGTCACGTTTTGCTTGCTTTCTTTAGTCACTTTATCTGTGTTGGGATAGTTGGAAAGCTAAGCACAATTCTGTGTAGTAGGCATATAGCATGTAATATTCTGGAGACGTTTCCAGAAATTTGGTCTTATAATTCACGTTGCAGAGAGCACTTCTGTTCATGTTTGTGCCCTCACTTCAGACTAAAATTAAATTCTTAGCTAGCTGGTAAAGAAGTGACTTTTTTGTTTGATAGATCTTCCCCGAAGAAGGCAACACTTTTTAAAATCAGATTGTTTATAACTAAATAGAAAGTTATTGGTAGACTTGACAGTCAATAAATCTGGCCCTTGCAGCAAGAGAATTTCACAGGGATTTTTTTTTTTTAAAGATGTATTAATTGAAAAGTCAGTTCAACAGAGAGAAATCTTCCATCTGCTAGTTCACTCCCTAAGTGGCTGCAATGAGCCATTCCAAAGCCAGGAACTTCTTCCAGGTTTCCTGTGTGGATGCAAGATCCTCAGGCTTGGGCTGTCTTCTACTATTTTCCCCGGCCACAAGCAGGGAGCTGGAAGGGCAGTGGAGCATCTGGGACACGAATCAGCACTCATATAGGATCCCAGCAGATGCAAGGCGAAGAGCTTAACTACTAGGCTATTGCGCCAGGCCAGGGATTCTTTTTTGTAGAGAACCAGTTGACAGGGCTTTATCAAAGGCATATGACACTAGTATTCTAGAGATGGGCTTTAGTGTGGCATTTAAGGAAAGTAATGCAAAAGCTTATCTCCTGGAATAGCCAAAGTAGCATTTCCTCACCCAGCTCTCTTCTACAGACACAGCAGGATGCAAACGCCTCTTCACTCCTGGACATCTATAGCTTCTGGCTCAAGTAAGCCTGCCCTGTTACATTTCAACTGCTTCTCTCCCCACCTCCTCATCTCTCTGGTGGCCTGAGTGTTCATTGGGTTTGAGAAGGTCCTGATCCCCCTGAAGATAGCCTAATCTCACTCAGCAGGTCAGCCAAGGCCCCAAAGCGGAAGTTACAGGCCAACGGACCAGTGACCAAGAAGGCTAAGAAAAAGACTGCATCCAGTGACAGCAGCGAGGACAGCAGCGAGGAAGAAGAAAAAGGTCAAGAGCCTCCAGCTAAAAAGGCTGGTAAGGCTGGGCAGAGGGTGGGGCTTAATAGCTTCAGGAAAATAAGTTGCAGCCTGCCGGTGCTAACAAGGTGGCTGGTTTTTCCTGGGACCTATTTTGTTCAGCTGTACCTGCCAAGCGGACCAGTTTGCCCCAGCATCCCGTAAAGGCTGCAGCCCAAGCCTCCGAGAGCAGCAGCAGTGAAGAGTCCAGTGATGAGGAAGAGGAGGAGGACAAAAAGAAGAAACCTGTTCAGGTTTGCGACTTGAAAAAACATTGGGGTTTGGAAAGGAAGAAACCTAAAATCTTGTCCTTCAGCTTATGATTAAGGGTTGTGGTGGTTTTCACAGTAGATGATTATAAAGAACAAGTGAGGTGTGGGGTACAGCAAGAGATATGATGAAGTTGGATTCCAAATTTCCTTTTTGTGCTTCCTATACTCTGTCCTGCTTTGATTTCCCTCATTCTTATTTTGTGATAGATAAACAGACTGCAGATGCTATTTGAGTACATGGAGGCTCCTCATGATAACCTCTTGTGTGTTCTAACAGAAAGTAGTCAAACCCCAGGCTAAAGCGACCCCTCAGAAGGCTAAAAGCTCCGACTCGGATTCTGACTCAAGCTCGGAGGATGAGGCACCTAAGAAGCAGCAGCCGAAAGCAACACCTGTGGCAGCAAAGGCTCAGGCCAAAGCCGCAGCTGCACACAAACCAGGTACCGTGTGACTCTGAGGAGGTTAGGCTGGGGACTGACGCCAAGATTGCTCACAGAGAGCTGGGATGAAATATCGGTCGGTGTCTTTTTTCCCCTTTTTAAAGCATTCCCCCCCGCCCCCTCTTTTTAAAGATTTATTTTTATTAGAAAGTCAGATATACAGACAGGAGGGGAAACATAGGAAGCTCTTCTGTCCAGTGAATGATTGACTCCCCTGAGGCCGCAATGGTCAGGGCTGCACCGATCCGGAGCCTCTTCTGGGTCTCCCATGCGGGTGCAGGGTCCCAAGGATTTGGGCTGTCTACTGCTTTCCCAGGCCACAAGCAGGGAGCTGGATGGGAGCGGGGCTGGTGGGATTAGAATTGACACCCATATGGGATCCTGGTGGGCTCACAGCGAGGATGTTAGCCACTAGGCTACTGTACGGGGTTTGCTTCTTTCGGATCTCCCATGTGGGTGCAGGGTCCTAAGGCTTTGGGCCGTCCTCTACTGCTTCCCAGCCCACAAACGGAGCTGCAATGAAAGTGGAGCAGCTAGGACACGAACCAGCACCCATGAGGGATGCCAGTGCAAGGTGAGGATTTAGCCACTAGGCTCTTGTGCTGAGCCCTTGGGATCATATCTTTTAGATGTATTCTGAAGCCAGTCTTGTGTAACTAGTTAAGCTGCTACTTGCAATGGCAAAATTTCATATTGGCTATGCATGGTTCAAGTCTAAGCTCCTCTACCTCAGTGCAGCTCCCTGCTTATGTGCCTGGGGAAAGCAGCAGAGATGGTCCAAGTCCTTGGAGCCTGTACTCAGTTTGGAGACCTGAATGGAGTTAAGACTCCCTACTTTGGCCTGGTACGGCCTCAACTGTTTGAGCCATTTGGGAATAAATAGATTAGAAGATCTCTCTCTTTCTCTGCAGTTCTACTTTTAAAATAAGTAAATAAATGTAAAGGATGTATCACTTTCTCTTTTTTTCCTTAAGGATGTATCTTAACATTGAGTCCCCAAAAGTCATCTTTTCACATGCTAGATCGTGATAGTTACCTTCATAGCTGCTGAAAAGCTTACAGAGCTGGGGGACTCCTAAGTTTAGCACTGTTTTAATTTGTATCTGAGAAAAGGGGAGGGGTTAAAACTCCACAATTGATGGGCCAGGCTGTCAGCTAAGACCTCAGTCCAGGCCTCCAGTGTGCTTGAACAGGCACAGTTGCCTCCTGGGGTGGGCATTAGTAGGAAACTGGAATTGGGGATGGATCTGGGACTGAACCAGTGCAGCTCAGTATGAAAATACAAGCATGTGCCACAGGAAAAATTTTATACGTAAAATCTTTTGACTTGCTATTGTAGTCCTCGCTTACTTTTTCTCTTAGTTGCGCCAGCCCGAGCAACAGTAAAAGTGGCTAATGGCAAAGAGGCTAGCAGCAGCAGCAGCAGCAGCAGCAGCAGCAGCAGCAGCAGCGATGACTCGGAGGAGGAGAAGGCTGTGGCCGTTCCCAAAAAGGTACAGGCCCAAAATTCCTTTCGGAAGAGAGTAGAGCAGGTGTGCCCTTTCATTCTCTGCCAGGCTTTTTCAGTATATTCTTTCAGTCACTGATGTTCTCTCTGTGACACAGGCTGTACCTAAAAAGCAGGTTGTGGCCAAGGCTCCAGTGAAAGCAGCAGCCACTCCTGCCCAGAAGAGCTCCAGCAGCGAAGATTCCTCCAGTGAGGAGGAGGAGGAAGAGCAGAAAAAACCCATGAAGAAAAAACCAGGTTAGTGGACGTGGCAGCCACATTGAATCTTTGGGACACAGACTTCCCCATAGAGCTGCTTAGTGTCTTCATAACTTGATTCCTGAGCTCAGGATCTGAGAAAGCATAGAGGAGCTGCAGTCCAGTGTGCCTAGACTCAAGATCGCCTCCAGCCTATACTTCTTGGAGAATGGGGTTCAAGCCCACATTCATGGGAATGAAGTGCTACATCCAGAAGGGGGCAATGTGTCGAGGGATTGGTGTTGCTTATTTTACTGTTTAAGTATTTATTCAACTGAAGAGTTAGAGAGCTTTCATCCTCTGGTTCACTCTGCTATATGCCTACAATGGCCAGAGCTGGGCCTTTCCAAAGCTAGGAAGGAAGCTTTCCCTAGTCTCCCACATGGGTGCAGGGTACAAGCGTTTAGTTGTCTTCAGCTGCTTTCCCAGGCACAGTAGCAGGGAGCTGGATTGGAAATAGAGCAGCTGGGTCTTTTTTCTTTCTTTCTTTCTTTCTTTTTTTTTTTTAATTTATTTATTTATTGGAAAGTCAGATATACAGAGAGGAGGAGAGACAGAGAGGAATATCTTCCGTCCAATGATTTACTTCCCAAGTGAGCACAACGGGCTATGCTATGCTGGTCCGAAGCCAGGAGCCAGGAACTTCTTCCGGGTATCCCACACGGGTTCAGGGTCCTAAGGCTTTGGGCCATCCTCGACTGCTTTCCCAGGCTACAAGCAGGGAGCTGGATGGGAAGTAGAGCTGCCGGGATTAGAACCTGCGCCCATTTGGGATCCCTGCGTCTTCAAGGTGAGGACTTTAGCTGCTAGGCCATCACACTGGGCCCAGCAGCTGGGTCTTAAACCAGAACTTACATGGGTTGCTGGTGTTGCAGGCATTGGGTTTACCCACTGTGCCACAGAACTGGCCCTTGTATACATGTTATAAAATCGTTCTGGGGCGTACCGTGTGGCACTGTCATCCCATCCTGGGTGCCAGTTGTAACACCAACTGGTCCATTTCCAATCCAACTCTGCTTTTGTCTGGGAAAGCAGTGAAGGATGGCCCAAAGCCTTGGAACCCTACGTCCATGTGGGAGACACAGAAGAAACTTGGTTCTTGGCTCTGAATTGGCTCAGCTCTGGTCGTTGTGGCCAGTTAGAGCGTGAACCAGTGAATAGAAGACCTTCTTCATCTCTTCCTCTTCAGAAAATTTGCCCTTTAACTAAAGAGATAAAAATAGCAATCTTAAAAAAAAAAAGGAAACAAGTTTTTTTTTTTAAATCCCCACATTGTGCCTTTCAACCAGGTCCTTATAGTTCAGTGCCTCCGCCTTCTGCTCCCACACTTAAGAAGACCCCAGGCACCCAGCCTCCCAAGAAGGGCGCAGAGCAGAAGCCACCTGAGGAAAGCAGTGAAGACAGCAGTGACGAGTCTGGTGGGTCAGGGGTGCAGTGGAAGGTGTGAGTGTGTGCATGCGCACGCGGGTTGGAGGCAGTGGGTGATGAGGAGGAGGAAGAGACAAGTTCACCATCATAGCACTGTTACTGGCTTAGACTCTGGGGGTGTTGGTGTCCTTATGTTCTGGTTAGGGTGATAAGTCTGGACCCAGTGTAATGGCCACATTCTCCCCAGAATCTAGTTCTGAAGAAGAAGAGAAGAAAGCCGCAGTTAAGGCAGTTGTTCCCAAAGCAGCCCCTAAAGCAGGACTGGTGAAGAAGCCCGCTGAAAGCTCTTCAGACAGCTCAGGTAGGGCCTTGGGTGGCCCTCAGCCGGTGGGACAAACTCCCCAGGGCCCAGAGCTGTCCCCGGGCTCCCTGGATCTGCTTTGGGAGCTGACTTCTTTCCATCCTTCCCATTTGTGTAGACTCGGACAGCTCTGAGGATGAAGCTCCTGCCAAGCCAGCTAGTACCACCAAGAATAAACCAGCTGCTGCTACTCCCAAGCAACCTGCAGCTAAGCCAGCTGCCACTCCCAAGCAGCCTGTGGCTAAGCCAGCTGCCACTCCCAAGCAGCCTGCGAGTGGTGGCCCGAAGCCTCTGACCAGAAAGGCTGATAGCAGCTCCAGTGAAGAGGAGAGCAGCTCCAGTGAGGAAGAAGAGGAGCAGGAAAAGGCAAAGAAGACTGTAGTCACCCCTAAGGCAAAGGTTGCAGCCAAAGCGGCTCCAGCTGTGCCAACCAAGCCGACTCCTCAGGCTGGAGGGGACAGCAGTTCTGAATCAGACAGCTCCAGCAGTGAGGAGGAGGAGGAAGAAAGGACACCTAAAACCTCAGTTAAGAAGCCACAGAAGGCAGCCGGGAGTGCCGCCCCTCCCAAGCCGGCCCCCAGAAAGCCCGCGAAGGCCGAGAGCTGCAGCAGCTCCTCTGATGACTCCAGTGAGGAGGAGGAGGACGAGAAGCCCAAGGGCAAGGCTACTGCAAAGCCACAAGTTCCCAAGGCCAATGGGACCTCTGCCCTGACGCCTGTCCAGAATGGGAAAGCGAGCAAGGACAGTGAGGAGGAAGAGGAGGAAAAGAAAAAGGCAGCAGTGGCCGATTCTAAGCCAGGTCTGTGTTTGAAGGCCCTGCCCTCTGGGAGGACGGAGTGGGGAGACCTCATTCTCCAGTCCTGTCCCATGCTCTGCTACCCCTACCTTTGCCAGCAACTTCTATTTCAGAACACCCCCACGGAAGCAGAACTGTTTTCCCGAGTGGTGCTTTTGATTTGTAGGTTCAGGAAAGAAGCGGAAGCAGAATGAGGCTGTCAGTGAAGCAGAGACACCGCCAGCCAAGAAGGTTAAGGTCCAGACCCCCAACACATTTCCAAAAAGAAAGAAAGTGAGTTCTTTCATTTTCCTCTCAGAGGCCAGCCCTTCAAAAAGCAGAAAGGGAAATCTGAGATCACCTGGAAGTTCGATCTGCCCAACACGTGGCTGTTAGGCAGCCATTCCACTTTGAATTTTCAACTTCATTCTTCCCTAGGGAGAAAAAAGGGCATCATCTCCGTTCCGAAGGGTCCGGGAGGAAGAAATTGAGGTAGATGCACGAGTGGCAGACAACTCCTTTGATGCCAAGGTGAGAGGTGTTTGCTGTTCTTCGGGGTTCCGGGGTTGACAAAAGGGTAGCTTTCGGTTCGGGTTGGTGGGAGGCTCTGTTCAAGTTTCTTGAGCGAGCAGTAGAACATGGCAGTCCCTGGATGTTTCCTTCTGTGTGTTGAGCACCTCTCTGCTTCACCAGCGAGGTGCAGTTGGAGACTGGGGGGAGCGAGCCAATCAGGTTCTGAAGTTCACCAAAGGCAAATCCTTCCGGCACGAGAAAACCAAGAAGAAGCGCGGCAGCTACCGAGGAGGCTCCATTTCCGTCCAGGTCAACTCCGTTAAGTTTGACAGTGAGTGACCCTGGTAATGATTGGAAAGTGCCCACTTTCTCCAGTGGACTTGGGAACCCTCAACTCTATTAGAGGGGAGGGTTTTGGTGAGGACAGAAGTTTCAGCTGCAACATAACATATCCTGTGTTCCTAGTCTGTACAGATTTTTTGAGTGTTGGGTAGCAGGGACAAGGTAAGGGAAATGTTATTTTTTAAAAATCTTTTTTAGTTGTCACCCCATCCTTCCTGTTTTGTGGAAGTCCTCATATGAGAAGTTTGTATGTTTTATATTAAATCATTTCCAATTGATGATTGTGATTTTCAGAGGTGGATTCGTACAGATGAAATCTTAACCATTGCCGAAGATACAGTAAAAGGTCACATTGTTTTTTATACTATTGAGAACAAAATGTTCTGAAAAATACATATCATTTATAAGTATTTGTTTTGGTGGCTATTATGACATGCAGAATTGGTTTCATTAATTCCTACGTGACTGGGAACTGTTGATCAAGAAAATGATAATATAAAAAAAAAAACCTATAGGGAAAAACCTATAAAGACCTCAGTCCACCATGGGGAGTAGGTTACTTTTATTTAATTTATAGGCAACCTATGTATGTGTGAAGGTGGAAAGAACTTTTACAAAGCTAATTGTCTGATGAAACTTGTGGAATGGGCTTGGGAGACAATCCCATTTGGTTCATGGGAGCATTTGTTCTGTCCCTTGAGAACTTTAGTTGTGAAAAAAACAAACAGAATAGCTCCTGGATGCACTGGTGGTTGGTCAGGTTCTAGGAGTAGCCATTGTTGGTGCTCAGGCAGAGACATGGAGAAAAGTCAGTGGACTTCCTGGAGGCTGGACTAGCCCTGTGGTGGGCCAGACTTCCCAAGCTTTTGTGGACAAGGTGTTAAGTCATAAGACTAGTCTCCCCTTTGCATTCCATGTTCACCAAGTAGCCTGGTAGCAGCTGGTTTTCTGTGTAGCTGCCTCTGGGGAGAAAGTGTGGTGTTCATCTTGATTTTACACATTTCAGTCTGCATGGTGGAAATTCTGTGTCTACAACAAAATAAACTGGATGGTTTATAATGTGTCTTGGAGTTGTATTGTGCTTCTAAACCCCTCCTACCTCCTCCCAAAACAGACCTTGGGTGCTGCATCTCTAGTGTGGGGGTCTAGACAGAGCTGTGAGTTCACCTGAGGGATTTCTTTTTTTTTTTTTAAGATTTTTTTTTAATTTTTTTATTACAAAGTCAGATATACAAAGAGGAGGAGAGGCAGAGAGGAAGATCTTCCATCCCGATGATTCTCTCCACAAGTGGCTGCAATGGCCAGTGCTGCGCCGATCCGAAGCTGGGAACCAGGAACTTCTTTCCAGGTCTCCCACACGGGTGCAGGGTCCCAAAGCCTTGGGCCGTCCTGGACTGCTTTCCCAGGCCACAAGCAGGGAGCTGGATGCGAAGTGGAGCTGCCAGGATGAGAACCGGCACCCATATGAGATCCCAGCGAGTTCAAGGCGAGGACTTTAGCTGCTAGGCCACGCCACCGGGCCCCACCTGAGGGACTTCTTAGCAATACCTTGCTGGCCTTTCTTGGCCACACTTGAATCATAATGCCTTTTCCTGACTAAAATTTCCAGCCTTGTGTGTCATCTAGAGGGTTTCAAAATGGACCAAGTACATCTCACAGTTGTTCCAAAAAAGCCAAAAATCTGGTTGACTTCTGACGTAGTTTTGTTAAACTCCTAATGAAAATGGTTGATAATAACAGCTGAAAATTAGTATCATTTAATGGGTGCTTTGTGTGTGCTTGTTTTTATAAATTTTATTTTTTAATAATTACATGGTTGATCAGGGTTGGAAGAATCTAGGTTTGGGGAAAATTGGGTGAACTCATTGCTTCCAAATTTGCTATTCTTGTTCCTTGGGGGAGGGGGAAGAGACAGGGGAAAACCACTCATGACTTTCCACACAACCCGGTACCCAGGGATGAGGAACCGCCACCTTATATCAACCTAGAGTCAGTGTGTACGTATTCTGACAGTTCTGTCAAAGTTGTTTGGATAGTTCTGAAATGCTGATTTCCCCGGCCCGAGGATGATGTGTCCATTGGCTCCTTTCACTGAGATTTTTTGCTGTCATTGTTTGGGATAGTTGTCCAGTTTGTTCTGTTCTGCTACAGCACCAAGTGTTCTGCTATATTTTATAGTAGGGTCTGTGTCCACTACCCCACCTTTTTCATGAAGTGTGACATGTTTTTGTAGGTGAGTCCAAATACTCAGGTCAGATGACTCGAGCCTTGCTGGAGCCCCTGGCCGCACCCCTCCCCCCCAGGCTCACGAATGGTAGGTGCTTGAAAAAACTGATGCAGAATGGGCATTAGGCCCAGTGGGTTACATTCCCATCTCCAGTTCCCGACTGAGTGCTGCCACTGCAGACTGGAGGCAATGGTCATGACACAAGTTAACTGGGTCATGGCTCCCAGCTAGTTGGTAGACATCTGGGGAGGAAACAGTGGAGGAGCCTTCACTTAGGTCTGTCTGCCTGTCAGTCTTCATATCCCACTGATAACAGAAGCTCATCCCCAGGCCTCTTAAATTAGATCTTGGTGTTCTTGGGGAGTTTCAGGTTCTAGGATTTTTATTTATTTATTTTTTAGATTTTATTTATTTTCATTGGAAAGTCAGATATACAGAGAGGATCTTCCGTCTGTTGATTCCACAAATGACCACAAGGGCCACAGCCTTGCCAATCCTAAGTCGGGAGCCAGGAACTTCTTCCAGGTCTCCCATATAAGTGCAGAATTGGCCATCCTCAACTGCTTTCCCAAGCCACAAACTGGGAGCTGGACAGAAAGTGGGACTGCTGGGATTAGAACCACAGCCCATATGGGATCCTGGCGTGTTCAAGGTGAGGACCTTAGTTGCTAGGCCACCACGCTGGGCCCTAGAGTTTTTTGAAGTTACAAAGTTATTCTTTTTTTTTTTTTTAAAGATTTATTTTTATTATTTTTTATTGGAAAGGCGGATATACAGAGAGGAGATACAGAGAGGAAGATCTTCCGTCCGATGATTCACTCCCCAAGTGAGCACAACGGGCCGATACTATGCCGATCTGAAGCCAGGAGCCTCTTCCGGGTCTCCCACGTGGGTGCAGGATCCCAAAGCTTTGGGCTGTCCTCGACTGCTTTCCCGGGCCACAGGCAGGGAGCTGGAAGGGAAGCGGGGCTGCTGGGATAGAACCGGCGCCCATATGGGATTCCGGGCGTGCAAGGCGAGGACTTAACCACTGCGCCACCATGCCGGGCCCAGGGCCGGTTGCTTTTAAGAATAACTTGTAGGGCCCGGCATGGTGGCGCAAGTGGTTAAGTCCTCGCCTTGCACGCCCGGAATCCCATATGGGCGCCGGTTCTATCCCAGCAGCCCCGCTTCCCTTCCAGCTCCCTGCCTGTGGCCCGGGAAAGCAGTCGAGGACAGCCCAAAGCTTTGGGATCCTGCACCCACGTGGGAGACCCGGAAGAGGCTCCTGGCTTCAGATCGGCATAGTATCGGCCCGTTGTGCTCACTTGGGGAGTGAATCATCGGACGGAAGATCTTCCTCTCTGTATCTCCTCTCTGTATATCCGCCTTTCCAATAAAAAATAATAAAAATAAATCTTTAAAAAAAAAAAGCAACAGGCCCCAGCATGGTGGCTAAAGTCCTCCCTTACCATATGGACAGTTTGTATCCTGGCACTTCCCTGCCTGTGGTATGGGAAAGCAGTGGACTGCCCAAAGCCTTGGGACCCAGGAGCTTCTTATGTGTCTCCCACATGGCTGCAGGGAGGAATTTAAAATCAGCACTTATATGGGATCTCGGCACTTAAAGGTGAGGACTTTAGCCACTAGGCTACCGCACTGGGTTCCTCCTTTTTTTTTTTTTTTTGATGTTTATTATTGGGAAGGCAGAATAGACGCTTCTTCCAGTCCCAAGGCTTTGGGCCATCCTTGACTGCCTTCCCAGACCACAAGCAGGGAGCTGGATGGGAAGCGGGGTTGTCAGGATTAGAACCGGCGCCCATATGGGATCCTGGCACATTCAAGGTGAGGTTGTTAACCACTACGCCATTGCATCGAGCCCAAAAATAAATATTAAAAATATTAAAAATACTTGGCTGACTTTGATTTAGGGTTTTGAACAGAATAGTAGTTTACTTAGTGTGAGAAAAGCACATGCCAACCATGCAAAAGAAAAACTAATCTCTAGTGGGGGAGAGGGCCTTTACAGTGAATTAAATGATTGCATGTGGTAATGGGAGCACAGTAATGCTGAGTGTGACGGTTCAGCGGCAGCGACCCTTCAAAAATGTTAGGTATTAGCACTTTGTGTGGCAGAGCTCTCCTGTTTCTTGCAGGGCTTGCATAAGCTGTCTGCTTTTACTGAGAAAGACCAGCAGGTGGGGCTCTTGCCACTCTGTTGGGAGCTGCCCCAGATGGGACATTTGAGTAGAGCAGGAAGCCTCTGATGGCTGATCTGGACTCATTATCTATGAGCAGTTACCCTGAAAGCCAGCCTGGGTCATGTGGCTGTAGAGGATGCTCGCTGTGGGGCCCTCCCTGACCTCTGCAAACTTCCCAGCTTGGCTTTGGGGTCCTGCAGGAGCCACCACAGCTCCCACTGCTCCACAGCAATTGCCACAGGACGGCCTGCCTCGAGTGAGAGCTCAAGGTCTGCTGCTGCACCCTGAATCTTCTCTCTGTCTTCTGGAGCTCAAGCCTGAGAGCAAACGTGTCAGGTCTCCATCTCAGATTAGGGAGCTGACATTGTGGCACAGTGGGTTGTGCTGCCACCTGTGATGCTGACATCCCATATGGGTGCCAGTTCAGGTCCTGTCTGATCCACTTCTAGTCCAGCTCCTTGCTAACCTACCTGGAAAAGCAGAAGAGGATAGCTCAAGTGCCTGAGCCCCTGTACTCACATGGGGGACCCAGTTAGAGCTCTAGGTTCCTGACTTCAGCCATAACTTTGGTTGTCACAGCCATTTAGGGAGTAAACCCATGGATGGGTGATCTCTCCCTCTGTGTCACTCTGCCTTTCAAATAGGTAAGTTTTTTTTTTTCTTTTAAAAGTTAATTAGGAGAGTAAGTGGAGTACAGAGTGTATCAGCATACATACTAACCTGTCAGAAATGAACGCATTCCTCAAATCAGTGTCTACATTACAGGGTACAAGGATGTTGAGGATATAGCCAAGTCCTTGCAGTCATGATTTACTCAGGCTAGCTAGTTATAAAAAGATCACCACAGAGGCTGGTGTGGTGGTTCAACAGGCTGATCCTTAGGCTGCAGGTGTCCGCATCCTTTATGGATACCAGTTCATGTCCCGGCTGTTCCACTCCCTGTTTATGGCCTGGGAAAGCAGCAAAGGATGGCTCAAGACCTTTGGCCCCTCCCTGAATCCTAGTGTGAGGTCCAGCAGTAGAGGATGGCCTAGAGACTTAGGACCCTGTACCTGGGAGGGAGTCTTGGAAGAAGCTCCTGGCTCATGGCTTTGCATCCGCTTAGCTCTGGCTGTTACAGCCTTTGGGGGAGTAAACCAGCAGATGGAAGATCTTTTTCTGTCTCTCCCTCTCTGTAAATCTGCCTTTCCAATAAAAATAAGTAAATGTTAAAAAATAAATCCCCACAGATAAAATTAAATACAAAGTTCAAGTCAGTGAAGACAAATTATGCAGAGCTGTAGGACATATGACAGGCAGCTGGGCCCTCATGGGAGTCCTTCAACATGGGTATATTCTAGACAGTGACAGAGCAGTTAGGCCAAGACAAACGGGTGCCAACAGGCTATTTTACCTAAACCAGGACATAAGACGTTAGTCATAGAAATCTACAGAGGGGCAAGGGTTTGGTACAGTGATTAAACTTGGCTTGAGTTGTGGCATCCCAGAGCAGAGTACCTGAGTTCGAGATCTTGTTCTGTACCCAATCGCAGCATTCCTGCAGATACACACCTGGCTTGCAGTAGGTGATGATCAAGTCCTTGGGTTCTTGTCAACCATGGGGGAGTCCTGGATGCAGTTCCCAATTTCTGACTCCACTGGCTGAGCCCTAG